CAATCTCTGCGGGCATCGGACGTCCCAAGTGATATTCAAAAGCTTCATGTGAGATTTCCACTGAATCATCTTCTAAAATGGCAAACTCCGTATCTGATCTGGAAGGGTGGCGTCGGATGAAATTGTGTAGCGTCATTGTGACAACAACTATTTGTACTTGCTTTGGAAAAGGGTATGACGACATATCCCGTAATATGACCCGCTTCTTCTTCCACACTCCGAACGCTCTTTCAATTACGCCGCGCAATGAAGAGTGTCTTTTGTTAAAAGCCTCTTTTTTGCCTCGTGCGACACCATTAGATCTTTCAAAATCAGGAATGTGGTACTTCGTATCTGGATAGGGCTTTAGATATCCCCTTTGCAATGGATATCCAGCATCAACTCAATAGTATTTACCCAAAGGTGGGTACGGAAATCCATGTCTGAAGTTTCTGGTAGCGAACTTGAAAACACGACTATCGTGAGCGCTTCCTTCCCATCCAGTCATGACAAAAGTAAAACACATATTGAAATCACATACGACCATAACATTTTGTGTTGGGGCGCCGCATCGGCCGATGAACGCAACTTTTTCTTCACTAGATAATCATGCATCGACGTGTGTCCCATCAATAGCTCCAATACAATCCTGGAGTTACAGCTAGAGAGTTTTTTAAACTGTAATGTAATAAAAGTAGAAAGATAAATGTTATGGTAACAGACAGACCTTAAAAAATGGCATATATCGAGGGTCATTTGCAATTTGTGAAGGAATTGAATGGAACGTTGGATCCTTGGGCTTCACTACCTTCTAGGCCAAACTCACAAGAGAGTTCAAACCGACTGAGAAATATCGGCTGATGGTTTCAGATGAATGTTGGAAACGCTCCATAGCCCCTCTTATTGATTCATTTTGAGATAAGATGTATAGAGTTATTGCAAGCACTTCCCTTGGGGTTGTTCTTGCAGAGTCGTGAAACCCATGATTGATCCAGAGTTCATTTAGAAGATCATGAAATATTTCTTGTGTCATACGGAACATATTAAAGAATCGTGTTGGATGACCCCGTAATAACTCACCAACCCATCTGTCTCCTACTTGAGTTGAAGTCATACATGGGTTTCGGTCAACGTGTTTGAGATAGTAGTAATACAATAAGGTAAGGGTAAATGCGACTGTGCGTATGTGGTGGATATCTTCTTCATCCATACTACAAAATAATTAAAAGGAAAATGAATTAACTTTAGTAATAAGAACAAAAGTATGCTATGAAAAATAAATAGAACACATGAACTTTGGGCAAAATAAAAACAATATATAATAAAATTGGCCACACAGAGAGAACAACCACATAAAAATGTGAACTGTCTAAAACATCCACGAAGAAGATAAAAAAAAAGTGTGCATCACGTAAACATAACATTGAACTTATTATGTACAATAAAAATTAAAGTACATAATAAGTCAAATATTCAAATGTTAGTTCTTATGATGTTTCTTTCTTTCACTAAGCAACGTGAAAGAGAATGTTAGATGGATGTTTGGTAGAAATTGAAAGAATAAATTGAAAAATTATTATATCAGATATGACGAGAGTAGCATCTACTGAGATTAGATATATTTAGCTGATTGTAGCGCTTACAACTAGGGGTAGAGATGCTTAAACAAGTGGAGTAGATAAAAATTATTTAGAATGATTAGGAAGGACACCAGGACAAAACTCAATTATTGAATTAAACAAAACGGCTTATTTTGCATTTATATTAATTTTAGGGGCATTTACATACACACCATCCAATTCCTATATATTTACATAACTCACACCTAAACAATTCTGTTTACATTAATACCACCCAAATCTTTCATATCAAATAAAAAAAACCACCTTAAAAAGTGAGTACACCTTCTCATGCACAGGTAAAGTAGCCAAACATCTTAAAAAAATCTCATTGATATGATATGCCTTAAAAACATACATCTGTCTATGCAAATGGAAACAAAAGATTAGTTTTTTCTTATGAATGTAAACAAATTCCAAATAAAAATTCAAAGCAGTTTTTCAGCCCACTTCACCTTCGAAGAACAACAATGTGCAATCAAAGCGAGACCGGGATTCCAAACTAGCGTCCGGATGATCCTCATTCTCATTGATCCCCTTTTCAGTTCTTTCCATAGTTTCCAATTCTTTAACTGGTCTTCTCATTTGTTCTTCATTTTCATTCGATCGTAATCTCTTCTAGTCATTTCTTTGAATTTAACCAAGATATTTCGCTACCATTCTTTGTTAAAAAATGTAGTGGGTCTATTTCCCACCTCAACATCCCTTACACATAAATCACAAAAGAACATAGTAACTTCTCTATCCCACATGGCTGATGTTACAGCCTCTTTAGCTTTACTCATTGAATTTTGTCAGATTAATGGATAAGCACAAAATGTTTCTTTTCATGACAAATAAATCACAAAACAAAAGAACAATTTTTATATCAACCCTCTAAAAAATCACAACACAAAAGATAAATTACTGGCATCTTCATCTTTGTGACGCCATAAAGATTAGACATTGGAAACAAATCATGACAAAGATTACTAAAAAATAGGATAAACTTTGGAAAGAAAAAAAAAACTTTTGTAAAGATTGTCAAACTGTACATTCATATAAAAGAGGAACAACCACATAACACTATATCATATAAAAATAAAAAAAAACTATAAAATGAATATCTAAGAATTATTGAGTTGAGATTTATTTATTTAGTGGAAGAAAAAATATCATATAATAAAGAAGATTTTTCCTCACAAATGATATTTCATTTAGGAGCATTTGCATGCATGCCACCCAACTCCTTTGTATTTACATATCTAATACCTGAATTTTATGTTTTAAATTAATATCACCTAACTTTTTCATACCATATCAAAAATAAGGGGGAGTAAAGAAACATTAACATTTTTCTATATACAAACTATTTTAGTGTTTATATGATATTACAAAGTAGTTTCTATTTTTAGTTAGTGGACCAAATAACATTTATATATATACTAACCTGTCCTAGCTCATGAACAATTTTCTTTTTTCCTATCTCATTGGTGCTTTGAGGGATATGAGTTTTTATGTTTTTACTTTTCATGAGAAGTTTAAATTCATGTTAAAAGAAAGAAGTCTTCCCAAAGAATATTTTAAAGTTCAAACACAACAAGAAACTAGACAGAAATAATCTAAAAAATATTCTAATATCAAAGCCTCGAAAGTCAAAGTTTTTGCAATTATTAAATTTTTTTGTTCAACCAGCTACTTGATGCAGATTTTTGGATTTTCCCCATCAGCAAAACTAGAAGTTGTGTAATATATGATTCCTTTGTGCCAAATTATGTATTAATAATCATAACAGTAATCATATAAAACCTTTTAAAAAGAACCTTCGATGATATAAATTTTTGGGTTGAATAACTTATAATTTTGTTTCTTTATAATTTTATACATGATAGTAGTTAGAGAAGTAATAGACCATTTTTTGAAAAAAAAGCTTCTTGATATAACAAATTTATACCTACAATTCATCTTTTTATATGGAAAACTTAAATCATCTTCATGACATCTAAGCAATCTAACAAAATATTAAGAAAACGAAGAAGATATATCTGTAGCGAGGAAAACCAAAGAAGACTACAGAAAAAACGAAGTAGGTGGAGAATGAGTGAAGCCCGAAGAACCACTTCGAGAAAGAAGCAGATCTGTGGATGGTTCCCCGCTGCTGGACTCCGGCGATGGATTCTCCGCTCCTCAATCCGGCGTCGAATGGCAAGCTTATGGGAGCAAGCTGCAAGGGCTGGATCCGGCGTCGGACGGCTTGCTGACGGGAGCGAGAGGCTAGGGTTGCTGGATCGAGGGGTGACGGGAGAACGACTGCGATCCGGGCGAAGCTCCTTAGCCGGGGATCTCAACAGAGACGAGAGCGAGAGCGAGAAGCTAGGGTCACGGAAGAGGCGAATGAAAAAAGCAAGGTCACGAGCGTAAATTGAAATTGGAAAACGCGGACCGCGGGGGTCAGCCCGCAGTTCGCGTCTTTTACAATTTTGGAAACACAATTTTCAATAATCTGGCGATAAGTGAATACCAAACAGTGAAACGATCAATAATCTGGCGATAAGTGGGTACCAAACAGTGAGACGATGTTTTCAAAATGCCGCCCGCACTTATAAGCTGTCCCAAACGGGCCCTTAATCACTATGTTATAAATACAAGCAGGAAGTGTACAAATTTTCCTACCAAAGCCGGTCACGTTACATCACTTCAAATTTCAATCTTAAGCCTCGCACGTGTAATCCTGCATGCCTTTCTAAATGCCCAAATCCCACTTGTGTCGCCCAATTTGTTTCCCTCAAATCCCTCTCTTCAGCATCCAGGCCCTCCCCGTTCCCCTCCCCAACCAGCTCTAGGCTAGCCAACCATGGATGAACGGCAGACCGGGCGACGACAAGCGGCGATTTCTCACGATTTAACCGGGCGCAGTGGCATTGCGCTTCTCAGATGGATCCAGGATCACGCGCCGAACTCGAGCCAGGTTGTGGGTTTCCTTTCTCTGGTCATCTCCGCTGCTATTCTTCTCATCCTAACTGGGTTGACGGTGAGTGGAGCTACGCTGGGTCTTATCGTGTTTGGGCCGTTGTTGTTAATCACGAGCCCAGTGTGGGTTCCAGTGGGTGCAGTGGCTTTTGTGCTGCTTGCCGGAGCCGCGTCGGTTGTCGGTGCTGCTGTTGCTTCGGCTGCTGTAGCGACGTGGCTATACCGGTACTTCACAGGTCGGCACCCGGTTGGGTCGGATGGGATCGATTTCGCGCGGAGTCGAATCGCCGACACGGCAATCCATGTGAAGGATTACGCTCGGGGGTGTGGTGGGTATTTTCAGAGCCGCATCAAGGATGCTGCTCCGGGGGCATAGGTGTGGTCGTCGGCTTGCATGCTGGTTTGTGTACTTATGGTAGGTATCTATCTGGTTGTTGGATTCTTGCTACCCTTTTGTCCTTGTTTTATGAATTTTTTTCTTTTTTTTTTTGGTGGTGTAGAGGTAATTGAGCTTTCTTTTTAATGCCTGCGTTAATGCAGCATAAATAATTAAGTGCAGCTATGACGCAGCCCTACTTGCGTACTAGGGCAGAGGTTCTTAGCTGGAACCTAATATTTACTTGTTACTGTGAAGGCTAGAATGTGGATATGGTTCTAAGGTTCTTGTCTTTATATGCTATGTGTTAATAAATTAGTTTTAAATGATGCAGAGAACTGCAGAAGTTGCATTCATGTTGTATGTGGTGAATTTTAATTAGCTCGAAGTTGCTTTGTAACTTATTGTCATATATTTAGAAATTAGAATCTTTTACTTATGCCAAAATGATCTTAAGAGAGAAAATAAATTATTAACAAATTCAGCCCATCTTGTGTTTCAACAAGAGCAGAATTGGGCAAGAATATGAGTTCCTTAAGCAATGCGTGATGGAGGGGATGGAAATAAGAACTATTTGACTTACCTTGGAAGGGGGAGAAAAAGATTTCGGATCAATTGGACTTGTGTTCGAAATGGTGTGGGCAGAAATTTTTGGCTCTTTTATATTTCTCCATATTTTGATCCTGTGGACTCCAAATGTGCTTTGAAGTTGGGTAGCAGGCAGATCACTTAAAATTTATTGTGATTTTTTTTTTTGACATGATGGTGCTGGGAGATAGGGGAAAATTATGCCCATCCTGTGAAAAAAAAGAAAGAAAATAATAGCCCACAAAAAATTATAAAATCATTTTTGTTCAAATCACACAAGAAAAGAGACATTTCACATTAAAATGCTTATACTAATGTTATTTTTGTTTTAAAAATCTGGGATTATATAAGTAAATGTAAAAGTTTAGCTGTTAGATATGTAAATTCATAAAAAATTGTGTGGTATCCCATTTACCTTTATGCAGTTTCACCCAATTGATGGCTATGTACTGTTGCTACAATTGTAGATTCATTTTGATTTTGGAGAAAATATAACTCTAACTTCTCTTGTACAACATAAGGTTATACCTCTGTCTTTATAAAGGGGAAAAAGCTTAGGATTATTGAAAAATACACTACTTTCGTAGTTAAAAAATTAGTCCCCAACTAAAAAAAGAATGAACGAAAAAGGGAGGAGGAATGAGGAAGCAAATCATAGGAATTTGGGGATTTAATATTATTGGCATTATTCTTATGCATCTAAATTGCATTGATTTTATTGTATTGTAAGGTTAATCATAACAAATGAAGTCTCTTGGGTGGTGGACAATGAAGGTGATTGATAGTTTTATACCTAACTTATATTTTTCATATAGAAATTCTCAAATAAACTAGATATCTTAAATACTCTCATATAGTATTCTCTAGTCTTAAGAAAAAATTTCACTATAATTGGAGAATATATTATATTTTGAAGTTGTGTTCCAAGAAACAATCATGTACAAAAATATGTCCAATAAGGCTATGAAATAGGCCACCACAAGTGAATAGATTGAGTTGAAGGAAATTTTTGAAGATGATAGGTGATTAAGAAGCCATTTAATTCTTAAAAGTGTTGAGAACAATCAAACCTGAGCACACCTATAATACTATATGAGAATATTTAAAGAATATATACAATATTATCCTTTTTGGATCATGTATTGCTTAATGATTTGGCAAACTTGAGTGTTTTGAAGAACAATGCAAGGTAAAGCTGCCATTAAGTGGCAATTGATAATGAAATAGGATACTGACTCTTTATACAAAATAACACTCGGACATGCTACCGATGGTTAGATGGTTAACAGAGCATTGCACAAATATAGCAGGCTTAAAGCTGCTTCCATAGTTAAAAGAAAATCCCAACAAAAACTGGAGATGGACTGGTGAGAAGAACCTAACATAGTAAAAGCAAAAACATTTATTTAAACTGTTACTACCATTAACTAGAACTTTAGTTAGTGTTTATTCTGCATTACAAAATTCTGGCTCCATTAGTAACCATGTTTTTTTTGTAGATTGAATTTGAAGCACTATCTTGCTAAAATAAATTCTTTTGAACACCTTCACTTTATTGACCGTGAAGATTGATTTCTTTTATGCTTCCACTTCTTTGTAGTGTTGCTCTTCTTTAGCATTTCAATTTCAATCATGTTATTGGATCTCGTAATTTCTTATACTAATATAACCCCCCCATCTAATAAATCTTCAATAAAATAATGCTTTGGCTTTGTCTTGTAGTTAATAGAAAATTGATTAGATGTTTACCTCCTTGACCATCATAAGGACACTATGTTTTTGTTCTCTTCTTGTCTCTTTTAAGTTATGCAGCCCTACAATTTCAGGGCCCACTTAATTTTGGTGAGGTATATGTAACATCTTTAAGGAAGCACAAAATTTGTTTCATTGCTTGTCAATATTTCTTCCATTTGAACATTTACAGGCATCAGAACATGTATCGGTAAAACTACTGATGAAACATAATAAATTGTTGCCTAATATTCCATATCATGTTAGGTGATTTTTTTTTTTTCTACTTTTAAATGGATTAGAAAAAACAGTAATTAAAGTTTTCAACTTCTATCATATTAGGCGTGCTTAATATTTTCTCAGTATGATCATCTTGAAATAGTTTCAAAATACTAATTAATCTATCACGAATAATTATCACCCATAAAAATTTCTGTGCTTATTCAGGTTCTTCATTTCAAATTAATTTTATAACTATTTTTTTAATTTATTGGTCTTAGAGATATTTCCCACCATAATCATTACATCATCCACATATAAAAGAATGGTGTTGAAACTTCTATCTGCATGGTATCTGTTGAATCTAATTTGAACCATAAAATTTTTTTGATATTTTCATGAGGAATAGAAGCCTATCTTTGATCAAACAAATATTTATTCATATTGCAAAAATGTATTCTTTTTTATGATTTTGAAGTTTAGATTATTCCTTGTAGTTGTTCTCTATCACTTAAAAGAAAAGCTGTCTTTCATCTTACTGGTTAAGTTGAACTTTGTTTTTTAATATTATGCTCAACACTAGTTCAATAGTTGTCATTTTTATAACAAAAGACAAACCTCATTAAACTCATTTACTTTTTTAAAACCATTTTACTATCCTTTTTTGTACGTCTTAGTGCTATTGTGCTTTTCCTTGATCATAGATTTTATTTGTATTGTGCTGCTCTCTTAATCATTGGTAGCCAAGATAATGCTAAAGTGTTACTTATGTATAAGGTTTTGTTATTTTATTTTATTGTTTGTTGTTACAGTGTCTTTAACTGCCTTTGATTCTTCAAAATACCTAGGCTCTCCACTATCTTTAAAGCAATAAATAATGCAAAGAAGGAGAATATTGTGAGTGGATGAAGTATTATGACATATTTTGAAACTATATTGTAGGTATAATCAGCTTGATTATCTCAACACTCTCTTTAGTCGCTTGACTTTTTCATTACATCTCAAACCTATTCACTTATGTAGGTCTGATTCATAGCATTATTAGACATTTATCTATACATGATATTTTATTTGAATGTAGTTTTCCTTTTTCTAATAATTTTACTATTTTTATGATCTTAAAATCTATGGCCATAAACATCAATTTCATATCTATTTTATACACTTGGGCTCTAAATTTTTTCTTTTAATGAAAACCACACTAGCATAAGAAAGTCATTTAAATACCTTTAATTAAGAAATGTTTATCTACTTTTCAAACCATGATTCTTTGAACAGTTCACATCAGCAATTCAATTTATAATAATTTAGTGATCAAATAAGCTGTAATTCTTATGACATTTTCCCAAAATGTGTTGCCAATCTACAGCATATCTTCAGTTGTTATATACATTTAACCATCCCATGTTGTTGTGATGTTCCTGAAATAGTCGTCTCCATATGAATCCTACTATTAAATAAAGAGCATCTATCGAACAGGCAGGATTATTTTAATCTGCATTAGTTTATTCTTGACGTATAAAATGTCTCCTTAGGTTGTAATTAAAGACATTCTTAAATGAATTTAATTTAATTCTTTCTACGTATTTTCCCTTCCTCATTCTCTCTCCTTTCTCTTCTCTGTCTCTTGTCTTGTCTTTTGTTTCCCATTATGTTTCTCCCTAGGTTGACACCACTTGGGTTACAATGAGCAAATTTGGAGAAAGCTCATCTATTGTAATAGATTTTAGGATAAATAAAAGGAGATGGCTGGATGAGTAGAGATTTACAGTTAGCATGAGTTCAAGGTGTGTGGAGTAAGTATGGAAAAGATGTAAAGAAAGAAATGGGAAATTTTAGTCTCCTTTCAGTGATTCAAAGTAGTGAATACAAGACACTCTAGATAGACTTATGAAATGGAAAAAGTAGAGTTACTAAAATAGAAGAATATATATAGCTTTACAAAAAATGTTTCTTTAACGGGATAAAAAAACTTCCTAATATAAATACAAGTTCCATCTTAATGTATTGGCAACTATATTTTATACTTTTTTTTTTTATTTAGAGCATTTTATAAAGTCTATTCGAACAAGCCTCATGGTAAAAATATTTATTAGATGACTCTTTAGTGCTGCATAAAGCACTTACATTCTGCCTTATAGTTTCTCTTTGATTAACATCAATCTCAATATATTTTATTCTATCATGTTGGATAGTATTATGAGCGATTTTTATTACTATTTTTTTTTATCACAATATAGCTGTATAGTTTAATTTCTATTTAATTCTTAAATCATGTAAGGTTATTTTAATCATAATAGTTCACAGATTCCTTATGCCATAGCCCAATTTTGATTCAATGCTAGATCTGACCACCATGTTTTGCTTGTTGCTTCTCCATATCACTAAGTTTTGACCAAGAAATATGCAATAATTGGATTTTGATCTCCCAGTTATTATACCTGCATAATGTTTACATGTGTAACTTTTTAGTGTTTTTTCTTTTGGATCATATATGAATTGGCTAATCACACTTATTTAGTATGCAATATTTGTTCAGATATGGGCAAGATAGATGAGTTCCTGACTAGTATTTGGTACTTCTTCCAATCAATTTGTTGTCCTTTGCCTCTCCTATCTTTTGATTTGATTCAATAGTAGTTACAGGTTTATACCCTAGCTTTTTTAAATTCCTTCAAGGGATTTGTTACATACTGAACACAGGACTTAAACTGTAGGAAAAATATTTTAATTTCTTAAAACTATTTTATTTGAAATTTTTTAATTGAATATTATTTAAGATTTTTCTTGTTCATCATTTCTAGTAATAATGGTATCATGAATATACTTTTGTAGAGGCATTACTCCTCTTGGTTCGAATGTTTGAAAAAAAAAACACATGATATCTTTGGTTTTGTTTGTATGTTATACTTTTCAACATCTTTAGTAAAGATCTCAAACTAGGCTCCTAGGTGATTTTTGTAGTTCCTTAAAGACCTTTTCTTCAGTTTACATAGCTTGTTAGATGTTTCAAAGTCAGGGCTATTTTGTTGTTATGTGGGCATTTGTGGAACTAAAGGTGGGACTAAGAGAGCAAAAAAAAGTTCAAATCATAGTTTTTATAATCATAAGGGAAATCTTTCCTTGAGAACGAGGCTGTGCTAAGGAAGGTTTAAATTGCAATAAATTTTACATTAACCATTCTTCCTAGAATGAGAATTAAAACATTTGTACCTTTTTTTGAAGTCGAGGAGTAACCAAGAAAGACATTTGATAAAGTCCATTTTACTTATGTTTTGACAAATAGCATATATAAAAGGAGTGCAAATTAATATTTTGGGTAAAAGGCCATAAGAGTTTTTGACATGTGGTTAGAAATTGGTAAGATATTCAATGAGTCTTATTTTCCACTATCTTTGTGGAAAATCTATTCATAATGTAGGTGGTATTAGAGCAACTCCCCCCCCCACCCCCAATAAGATTTGGGAATATTCGCTCGAGTAATAACGACAAGTGATATTAAATAAGCAGTGATCAATTTTCTTTGCAACTCTATTTTTATTTTAATGTATTTATGCATATTGATTCATGAGTAATGCATTCCTTTTGAATTGAGTCTAACATTTGATTAAAATAATCTTGTGTTATGTGATCTTTAGTTTTTATTTTCACTCTAAATTGGTTTTGAACTGTAGAATGAAAATTAGTTATGATGTTGCTAACATGAATTTTTCTATTGATAAAAGATATCCATGTATATGTAGTACAATCGTCAAATATGGATACAAATCACCAGGCTCCTAAAATGTTTGGCGATGGTGGATATATATCAATGTGGATTAATGCAAGAGGATACAAACTTTTTTTATTATAAATAAGAAAGATTTTACGAGTATGTTTGTTGACTCGTAGACTTCTCAATGAAAGTCCGTGATATTTAGGAACTTGAAAAGAGTATGAAAGATCTTTTTAGAACTAAAGATGAAAATGAGATCATATGAAAATGAGATCATATGATTTTTTTTTTTTTTATGAACTAAGAAATGACAAGGTCAAGCTACTGTTGATTTGTTTTGAAGAACCTGATGCTTCAAGATAGTAGAGCCCATTCTTTTTCTTAACAAATTCAACCCTCATCAAATTTTGGCCTTGAAAAACATGGTAAGAATGATGACAACTGGTGAAATATTCTAAATATTTTGTGAAATTTTGCATAAAAATAAGATTTGGAGATAATTTTGAAATATGGAGACATTTTTAGGGGTAAGAGATGCTGTTAAATAGATCTCTCTTAGCTATGTACTTATAGTAAGGAAACCATTTGCTGTGGTAGTTTTCTTTTTACTTGTGCATGAAGTATAAGTGCCAAAATATTAAGAGCTATGAGCCATATAATCTATTGCTTCATTTAGTCATTTCTCCATCTTATTCTTTAGGTTTTGAGCATGTTGAGTTTGTTTCGTTAGGTGAGCTTGATATTAATATCTATGTTGTACTCCGGTTCTCTCTCCACTCTTCATCTTCTAGCAAGCCCTCTTTTGTATGTTTTGATTTTTTGCAATAGTTGCACAGTAAATTATCTATGTTATTTTCTCATGGTTTATATTTTCTAGTGATTTTTTTATAAGTGTGCTATTTCTCCTTTTTTTCTTCTAGGGATTCAGTTTGGCATTAGGGTTTAACTATCCGAATTCTTGGGCTTGAGCATTGTATAACCCTCTTGCTATATTTTGATTGGATTAGAGATTGCCTCTTCCAATGAAGGCATTTCTTTCCTTGAAGAATTCGAACCATTTACCTGATCAAATTCTTGGTTGAAACTTTTCAATGAAGATTTTCAAAATGGCTTCATCTTTTGGTCATTTCAAATACATGATGGTATTCAAGATATAGCCATAGATTTTTTTAGTAATTGACATATTTTGCCATGGCTTACACTTTTACCTTCATTTAATTCTACCGTCTTCATTATGATTTCGTATATTAGGCTACATCACACGTCCTTGAACAACTGCGATGGATTGAGTCCTAAATTCTCTTAGCAGTAGTCCTGAGCATGGAAGCATCGTTAATAGGGGTGTCAAAAAGTTTGCGGGTTGGGTTTTGTCTGAGTCAAAAATTGACTTGACCGGAATATTAAAGGACTAGGGAAGTCCAACCCGATATTCACCCGCTTTCAACATGCTGACCCAAATATGTTAATATTCATACGTAAGTTATCATATATGCAAAAGTTGAGGTTGGGTATTAAATATGTTAATACATATGAATTGGGAGGTATGTATGTAATTCTTTTTAATATAAATAATACAAAATAAATAAAAATTAAGTAGACATCAGATTAAGAGATGGTTAACTCGTTTGTTGCTTAATCTAAAACATGAATCACAATAACAAGACCACCAACATAAAATAAACAGAGCTCATTACCATTAATGTCAAAATAAACAGAGTTTTACATAATCTACAACTTCCCTCTCTACTTCTTCCTCAAATTTCATCTTCTAAGCCCGCTTCTTGTTCATGTTGGAAACCAATTCCCTCATCTGAAACCTCCAGTATAAAAAGTAAGCCAAACCGAAACCAACAAGAACCATCAACACCAACAAATCTCCTTCCTCCTCCCACTCCACCTCCTCTATTCTACTACCCGAATCACCTCCCCCTACCTCCTTCGCCGGCGCCACCAAAACATAAGCACTTTTCCCTTCCCTCACCGCCACCCCCTCAAACTTCTTCCCTTCCCCTACTTTCACTTCTCCCGTCACCGCCGCCTCCGACCACCCATCCCTACCCTGCACCATTCTTACCCCCGTCCCACCTGCCACCACCGCAGCCCCATCCGCCATCATCGCGATCCCGCTTACCTCAGGCGCTGGACTCCCATTCGTCCCGATAACCTCCTTTGCCGCTCCGCTCTCCTCATCCACCTTAAACACCGTACCCATCTTCCCCTGAACCACAAGAAGAAACCCCTTCCTCACATGCGCCACGCCTACCAATCCCTCCCCGCCGTAGATCGCCGATTTGGAGAAATCGGAGACGATGCCCTCCAAGTCAACCCTCCAGATCACTCCGGTGTCCGATCCAGTGACGAAAATGAATCCGGTGGCGGGATCGACAGCGATGCCGCCGGGAGAGGCCGGGAGGGAGGAAGAGAAGATGCGGCTGTGGGGGCGAGGCGATCGGAGATCGTAAGCGGTGAGGGTGTTGGGATTGCTGAAAGCGACAAGGAGGCGGCGGCGGCGTTTGTCGATGGAGATTGACGAGATAGAAGAGATGAAAGGGTCTGAGACGATTGTCTCTGCGACGCCGGCGTCGGAGATGGAGAAGATAATGGGGTGCGAAGCGGAGCCGACCACGAAGTGCTGGGCGGTGGGATCCCAGGTGAAGCCCGCCGGGCGGGGGACGGTGGAGGGGATTGTTATGATGTGGCGGTGGGAGGCGAGGGTGGAGGAGATGGAGGAGAGGAGGAAGATGAGGAGCTTAAGGACGGAAGGAGACATACCAGCTGGTTTGTACGATTGCCGTCTGCTGTTAGGGTTTGGAGGAGAATCGTGGTTTTGCATTTGTGTCCCAGTTTTGTTTTGTGCACGCTATCCATTTGGAAGGTAGATAGAGTAGCGGTGTAATTTGAGCTAAGCTTATTTCTGAGCTGGCTAAACAAATGCCCAATTTGTGAACAACTCATAAGCGAGCCAACACATTTTTTGAGCTTAAAAAATAGAGTAGCAGTGTAATTTGAGCTAAGCTTATTTCTGAACTGGCTAAACAAATGAGCCATTTGTGAACAACTCATAAGCGAGCCAACACATTTTTTGAGCTTAAAAAATAAACAAGCCGAACACGAGTTAAGCCCAGGCCTGCTCTTGTTCGGCTCATTTACACCACTATAAACAATAATGTTTTTTATATTTTATTTCAAATGAATTATTATTTATTTTTTAATTGTTAATTTTATTTATCATTTAATTATAAAATTAATTTGAATTAATATTACTATTCTCATTTATAATAGACAAATTGATTTGTTAGCTGCACAAATTTGTAGAGTTAAGTTTGGGCTCAAGCCTGAACTTAATCAATTAATCAAGTTCAAATTGAGGATGGCTTTAGCATTAGGATGTTGCATTTAAATTGGATTAAAATATAAAAAATATTACTTTAAATTTTGCATTGGGTGATTAACCGATTACCTTAGGCATATAACGGTCTGCCCGATAAGCCTGCCCCTTTGGATATGGAAGTGAAGAATGTCGGTCTCAATCTAAAAGTGACAAATGCTAGCTTCTTAAGAAAAGCGCATGCTTACAAAAAATCGGCATGATCGTGAAGCGCAATAAAAATGCTAAATTTAGCATATTCTAGTCATAAAAAGGTGTCTTCTAAAGATAATCTTCTGCCCAAACATTATATGTTGGTACATGTAATTATTGGGTTTAAGTTTTTCAATTTTTTTTTTAACTTTCTCAAGCCAATGTCCTGCTAGAATATACCCAAATTGATTATAGGAGTTATTGATTTTGTCCAAATGACGAGCAAGCGATCAGGAGGCCATCCGGCGCCCATCAATTGCAACCCCACTGGCCTCACGAGAACCACCCGATCTGTCAACCCTTTCATCATCACCCCGACAGCACCTGGGTTGCTGCTATTGGCGCAACTATCGAACCTTGACCAACATTCTCTGGGAGCGCATCATCAATAGGTATCAGCTCAATTGTACCAAAAAGATAATATAAGCAAAGGAAAAAGAAATTTGAACCTGATGAGCCGAGCGTGGATATGCAGTTAACAAAAAGATAAGCGACACAGAGGAAAAACATTCATAGCAGAGAGCGTATAAGGGAAAAAGACGCAACTTTAAGTTTAGGAGCCCGAAGATCGCGTTTCCATCATCTTCTAGAGTCTTTGGCTTGAAGGAAAAAAAACACATTCAGAAACAAGCAATTGATATCTTGCCGGCTGATTCTTCCGCCGACTAATTGCTTTCCAACCGAAAATTCCTGTAGCTCGTCGACAAAGTTGTCGGCCGACCTACACCATCCGCCGGAACACGAGACTTTGCGGCGGTCGCGGTCATGCCGGTTGCCGAAACCCACCATCGATCGTCAAATCATGGTCTCTCCAGTCACTAAAACCCGCTAGTGATCGTCAAATTGCAATCTCTAAACTCCTGTCATTGGTTGTCGGATGGCAATTCCGTAGGCCGACCATCTCCTGGATTTGAAAGCTTTGTTGCTTACAAAATCCAGCTGGCTAGCTTGCATGCATCATCTGTCGATCGAAATGGTTGAAACTCAAGCTGACAAACTCGCATGCAAATCCCATTGGTCCACTCTTTTTTTTCTCAGTCGGCAACATCCCACGACCACTCACCCTCTCATCCACCAAACAACAGTTGCTGGCAGCATGGTTTTTATTAGAGACGGTGGGGACTACATCGAGGAAGAGCCGTCGATTCCGATCCAGCTTCGGACGATTGAAATTTCAAGTAGGTCGATCGTCGTGTAATTCATACCAGTCGTAAAATTTGTCAGTCGCCAATTTCAAGGCATCTAATCAAATGGTGAATTCTGAGCTGGTCAACTAGTGACCAAAAAATCTAAGACCGAAAAATTACAAACGAGTAGAAAAATTTGGATAACCGACGTGTTGTTGCGGACGACCGAAAATTCTGAATTACCAAAACATTCCAGCGACAGAAAATTCTGAGCGACTGAAAAAGTGCAGATGACTAAAAAACTGGACATTGTGCATTTCTGGGTAATCAAAATATTCAACAATTTTATTTTATTTTATTCTAAAATTTATTTGTCAACTCTTCTAATTATGTTTTCCTAGGTTTGACTGGGACTAGAGGCACTCAAAGAGTTCACACACATGATACTCAGAGAACTAGGGTTCGACGTAACAAATAAAATACTCCTCTCTGGGGCGAGCAAACTACTAACCCTCAACGCCAAACATAAAAAATTCATGTATTTAAACTCAGAACAGGTAAAAGATTTGTAATTGGTTCCCTGCTTAGTAGCGACATGTTTTTCCAAGGGTACAACACAAATTATCCCAGCAACAAGTCTCGTCGTTTACTCCATGAAGGCAAAGACAAGATCCACCTAAGCCTTGGCGAAATGCGAGGATTGATCGAGGTGATGAACCGACACGTGCTTTGTAAGACTTGAGCCAAACAGTCAGCAAATTAGAATACATAAAAAATGAATGATGGTCTTTTCAAAGATTTGAGTCATCAGCCAACCCAAAACATCAAACTGTCGTAATCAAATGACACGATAAGTGTAAGATACAAAAATAGGCAAAGGTAAAAAATGATCTAGAGCTATATTTACTTTTTGTATAAATCACTTACATTTCTTTACAAGCATTGACTAAGTAATAGATGAAGCCAACAAAGCTGATATTTAGGCTAAAATAGTCGATTGAAAGCTTAAAAAAAAACAGGGGGTTGAAAGATGCCAAAATGAAGGGAGTTTAAATAGTACATTATTGTGAGGTATTTTAAGTCTCTTATTCTTATAGCAGCTTCGCTTCCATGACGTAAAAGACTTGCGGGGAAATCTATGCATGACCGAAAGCACATGTGCAGATCTAGACAAGATCTAACGGTAACAAAGACCAGCCGACCACCTAGTCTGCCAGCCGACCACCGTCGTCTGCCCCCCCCAGCCGATGTCTGCCCACCGCAATTCGTCTGTCGATCTTAGTCCGTCTGCTGACCGCAAATGGTCTGCTGATCGTTGTTCCTCTGTCGACCTCAGTCCTTCTGCCAACCACAGTCGGTTTGCCAACCTCAGTCCTTCTGCCAACCACAGTCGGTTTGCCAACCTCAATCCATTTGCCGATCACAATCGGTCTGCTGATCACGGTTCCTCTGCCGACCTACTTGTTTTTATTTCAAAAAAGTATTATTAAACTTTTTACCAATAGTGTGCTTAAATTTTATTTTTATACTTTATAAGGATCCCAAGTTTGATAAATTTTAAAAAATTTCAAAGTAAATAGAAATAAAGATTTCTACGTTGAATAGAAAATGTTCTTATACCCTAGTACTAGACCAATTCACTAGAATTTCTCTTAAGTTGTGTCTTGACATTTTCGAAGAAAAATTATTGGAAAGGTTAATAAAACCCACCGCCTCAAATTAACAATTCTGATTTTTAAAATTATAGTGTTACTTGAGGACAAGTAATAGTGTTACTTGAGAACAAGTAACATTTAAGTTTGGGGATTTTGATGTATGAAAATATTGTATGAATTTATTTATATTTTGGAGATCTTTTTTAATGAAATTGCATTTTAAAGAAAGCTATTTATATGTTTTTATTGCAACTATAACAACTATTATGAGTAAAATGAAGTGTAAGAAGCACAGAGCAAAAAGAAAAAAAATAGAAGAAAAAACAGTTTGTGAAGGATGAGGCCATGACGCCAAGTACTGGGCGCCTAGGCGACAACCAAGCCTGGAATCTGAGAGCTTAGCGCCAGGGAGCCAAACACTGGGTGCCATAGCCTCAATTCTGAAGGCCAAGGCCTTGGCGCTAGAACAGTGTGGCGCATATGCGCCAGTCCAGTAAAATGAGCGCCAACCACTTGGAGCCATGACCCCAGTCCAAAAGGCCAAGGTCATGGTGTCTAGGCGCCAGTACCGAATTATGGACAGTTTCGAGATGGTTCAAAGCAGTTCAACAACACTTTCAAGGTGGGTTTTAAAGCAGTTTGGAAGGAAATTAAGAGGAGTAGATGGAGAAATACAAAAGGGGGGCCAGGAGTCGAAGGTTTGTGAGAGAGTTTTGGAGGGATTTTTCATTACGTGTTTGTAGAGTTCTAAGCTTGTTCTAAGCAAGTCTAGGTGTGTGTGTGTGTGGTGATTTGTGAGTGATGTTGTGAAAGGAGTTGCAAGAGAAGAGCAAGGGCTTGGGTGGAACATCATCAAGGCAAATTGAGG